TAAAGAGCTGTAATTCATCACTGGATAAAGACACACTTTCTTTTGCTGGGGTTTTGCTCAACCATCTTTGCCTTCTGAGGTGTGGCATGAATGCACAGTTACTCAAATTGTTGAAATCTGAGTTCCTTAAATCGGATAAGTCAAACCTCAGTTTGCCTTTGCCAGTTTGTGAAAGTGAATTAACCTGAACTCAAATACTGGGTTAAGTCTATCCGGATAACTTGAGAAAAGCCTGAGTTAGTTAAACCTGTTTTGTGAATCAGTCTTCAGGTGAAGATTGGGTTTAGCAGACTACATAAACAAGCAATGAGGGCAGGAAATGAATCCAGCACCCTGGAACTGCAAGACAGCAGTGCTAATTCCAAGACATTAATACAACCCACCAACTCACACACATAAAACATTAACTTTGGTATAATTAAAAAGTAATATATTTTTAAACAAAGTAAATGGGAATCAATTAAAAGTAAAATAATTTTAGCAGTGTGTATAATTTTTTTAAATTGTTTCTATTTATTGAAGAAACCATTTACACGTAAAATACATCTTCATCATTAGTAAATTTTAGCAGATTTTCAAATCTTGTTAGCTCAGGAAAATGATACATAAATAACTGGATGTGTGCCCAAAATGTTTAAGATTTTGTCATCATATCTTATTTTCAAGTGGGATTATCCAATACATACAGCTTTCTGCATTATATAAGGCAGTAGGGTGTAATATATATTCTTCCATATGGCCAAAATGTATGGTTATAAATCAAGTGATTAATAACACCTCTGTGCCAAAAAAGGCTATCTTTATTATAACCTCTAGGGTCAGTTATAAACAGATACCATAATACTGTTATGATGTTTTTGCATATAAATACCCTTTTCCAAGTATACAAACTGATTGCAGGGAATCTGTTTATAATAAAATCTGATTGCATAAAGTGCTACAGTGCTGGCAGTCACTGCAAAATTGAAACTGTTGGCCTCATTCACAAAGTTTATCATAATATATACATGTAGTATAAGGTTTCCCAGTCTCAAATATATTTAATAAATATTAATATTATACCTGAAATGTAAATACAATTTTTGCTGTAATGTATTTTTTAATCCTTACATTCCGAAAAAAGCTTATTTGTGAACGTTTAAAATATACCCTAACATCTACTGTGAAAAATAATTCACTGAATTTTATAAAGAAGATCTATTTTATAATGTGCACTCAATGTGCGTATCAGCACAGAATGCTGAATATTGTTACTAGCCAACAAATATGTATCATTGCCAGCAACTTCACTTTTTGTCTTAGATAGGATATCACGTAACACCCCAGTTAGAACAGTGCTGCAGGGGTGCCTGGTTTCTCACCAGGATATGGAATATACTAAAAGTTAATAAAATATAACAGCAATGTAAAGTTTTTTAAACAACAAATGAGGCCAGGCACGCAGGTGCATCGCAAGTCTTTATAAGTATATCATGCTCACACAAACAAATACTGTACTGTATATTACATACATGAAGAAAATTAAGAACTACAAAATACAAAATAGGGATATCTTACAAGGCATGCCATTAGGATTATGGTGCTTGTTAAGAGTAAGTAGGTCACCTATTATGATAAAGGGAATATTTATTAGTTAAGAATATCAGAAAACAAAAGCATCTGAAGAAATGTTTGATACCACTTTAACACTGAATATACTGTAGTTTGTTTGTTGCTCCTGAGAGGCAAGCCACTGTGTTCCCATTTGTAAAACTGTAGTCATTTAATAAACTATCAAAAATCACATTTTGAATACTTTATGATCTGGAAGCATGCAAGGAAATATTTCAAATTAAAGAAAAATAAAACTTTTGTTATTTCTTAAAAAACAAAATCACATTGGAAAATTACACAATTTTAACCTTTTTTTTCTTTAAGACAATTGTGAAATGAAATGTAAATCATTTTGAGTGTTTCTACAAACAATATCAATGAATACTGCATATCCATCCATTATAAAAAGATAACTATTCCTGGAAAAGAATTACATGATATTCCATAGCAGCCAATAGTTTATCTTGAAAGCATAAATTCTGCACAAAGTGGTACTGTGATGTAAATTCATTCTTTCGTCTGCTAACATGTTTTACATTTTAGAAAACACAAGAAAAGGTCAAAGATTTGTAAAACGGCAGATTAGCAAAATGGAACTCATAGGCACAGGTAATGAGAAAACAAGGAATAATCATTATGTTTTCTACAGAAACCATATCCTGTAGTGTTTCTTATGTGGAAGAACAGTAGGAGGTTCAGTAGGTGCAGCAGATTAAACTCATGGCTGGCTCTGTAGGATATGGTATCTGCTTGACACAGCAACAATTCTGCCCAAATGATTCTTGGATAAGCAATGGTCAGAGTGTATAAACAGATGGTCAGTCCTTAATGGAGCATTAAATAGAAATCAGAGTTGTTTAAAGCACATCTGGAATAAAACTGGACGAGTATAGAAATCTTGAAGGACAATTAGGTGAGGACTTTGAGATCAAAATATTATTTTATATCCGGTAATATCTTGTACAATATATGGTCCTACTTCATTTATGATGAACAAATAATAATGTGCAGTTAAGGAATTCCTGTCACACATGCCTAAAATTTTACTGTAATGGAATGGAGATTTATAAAGGATTTAACATTAAGATACGTACCATTTTACATATCTCATTCCAGGCTGTTTATTGAAATAACAATAATTTTTCCTACAGGGTTTCTGCAGACCTTTTCAAAAGCAGAATGCAAAATAGATGATATTACACATTGAACATATGTAACCATTAAGATTAAATTATATATTGAGCACCTTTAATAACATCCATCCATTTCCTAACTACTTTATCCAATACATCCAGGGCCAATTTTCCCAGAAGCCACTTAACCTACTGTACCACTATATCCTTGAACTAGAGGAGGAAACCAGAGCACCGAAAGGAAACCCATGAAATCATTGGGAGAACATACAAACTCCACACAGATAACACCCCTCTGCCACTGCTAGGCAACAACACTAACCAGTGAGCCACTGTTCTTACAGAGCACATTAAAATTATTTCACAGTGCAATTCACTAAAAAGTAACTTATCATTCATTTGTACATGGAATATTATACAGGGATCAACATGCTAAATGAGTGGTGGCAGCATTCCTTCTGTTGGTCTCTCCAGAGTAAAATCCCTTTATTAAAGGACCACTGTTTTGGTGTAGTGGGTTTGACATTCTTCTGGAATGTGGCACTTAGAAATGTGCCTAAGACACAACTTGAATACAGGAACTGACTGCATACATTATACAGTACATACATACTGCTTAGGTTCAGCAATAGGTTAGGTTAGTGTAAAGCTGGTGGAGCCACCTATTTTAGTTCTGTCAATTTAGGAGTTGTATGACAAGACCAGAGGAATTAGAAAATGCACCTGTCAGATAGGAAGAAATATAAATTGCATATCAGGATTGTTAGAAGATTTTATGAGCATTATGCACAGTCAGGCATATCATGGAATTTTCAACCAGCACTTATTTTACTTTTAACTTCAGTAACCTATTACTCAGCAACTTTAATGTTCTAGATAAAAGAAGCATAAGATGTGAAAATGTCATATTAAAAATCATACACCTTTTAAATTAAACAATTTCTATGTGAACTGAATTTGTTGGTTTTTGAACTGAATGTTTTGGTTTTTGTCTCACATTGTGTCTATATTGAGTCCATACTCCATTAAGTATGGACATAGGACAAATGGAATCCATTCAAGATTTTTCTTAATTTTTTTTATTAGGACATTTAACAAAATTGCTATTTTAATTAGGTTTAGAAAACAGAAAAAATATAATACAAATACAGTCAAAGACAAGTACTGCCATCCATCACTCCTAGAGAGCCAAAACCTATCCTGGTATATAAATACAGCCTTTTTTTTCTACTTCATGCACTTCTGTTTCATACAGGATGGGAGTGAGAATAATATCTCACATGCTAAATGCTATATGCTAAAAAAATGGATATTGCTAAACTGAATTTTTATCTAAACGTATTGTAGTAAATTAAGATTGCTTTGTGCAAAGGAATATTTTATATTCTGCAGTTTATGTACTGTATATTGTTGTTCTCTCTTACAAGATATGGTACCCCCGAGTTGTTTTCTATTTGAAATCAGGTTTACTTTTATGCTAAAATACATAATGTACATGTAGAAAATATTAAGTATCCATTTCAACTTTAAGAAAAGGTGCGATGTGCAACCTTGAACATTAATTTCTAGTAAAAAGTGTATTGGTTTCCATAGTTGTTTAAAATCTATGGGATGCAATGAGGTTTGAGGGTTTATGGAATGTCCGGAGGGGGCATAGTTCATTGCGGAAGTAGACCAGTTACAGGACTTTGTAAGCAAGACAGATATCTGTGCAAATACTTTTATTAAGAAATACATTCAAAATACACACCTCTAACCTTTGTATTACATAATAAACATGGTCTCACATTGTAACTTGCTTGTAATGTGCCACTAAAATATATATTTTAAAGAGATTGAATACAGTAGTGAAGAAAAGGGATATTAAAATCTGTTTTTTACATTTTATCTAAGGATGTCTTACTTTATGACAGTCTCAGTGATTTAAATTCTATACATTTTGGTAATATGTAGGCCCATATGCTAACTAATGGTTTTAAAACTAATTCACTTTAATTCTATCGTACTGGCAATACCATGACAAAACATATACTGTACAATAAAGACTACATTAAGCATAAACATTTAACAGCTCATTTGATGTAGATATTAGCAGGCTGTTGAGCATACAATCTCTGTATTGTATGCTCGGGAATGTAAAATGTATTTTATGGGAATGTAAAATTTGAAAATACATATCTAAATGACTAACAGCTTTGAACTTATTTTAAATTAAAAAATGTAGAACTGAAATAAACACATTAATGATTCTGTGGTATAATAAAATAACTGTACCTTAAATCAGTCAGTCTTGGCAGAAGTCTTTTCTTTCCACTGAAGTATGGTTCAAATTCTTCAGTTTTAAGTCTGTGGGAGTAGTCTATATACCCAGATATTTCCTGTCCATGAGAATTTCGGTCCCTTATGAAAATGATAGACTGTAAAAAACAGAGAAGGAAATACTGTATAAATAATTAAGCACAGATTACTTTCAAAACTAAACAAATGGTTGACATCAGCCATCACTAATGAGGAGATATAAAATCTATACTATAAATCATATATATATCAGTGTAGCATTCTTTAAATTATACTTTTTGATGACGTTAAAGTTTATAGTATATTGTATACACTTAAAGACTACACAATTATAACATTGTATTTTTTCTTCTTTTTGCTCTTCAGCATGAAATTAACCTCTGACTGTTTCCGAGAAGTGTACATTTCATACTAATTAAAGTCCTAATAACACCACATTGCTAAATGTGGTTTTAACTTGCTAGAAAAATGGTATTTGAAATATAACTGATACAAAAATCTAGAAAACACACATTGACATATACTGTACATATTCAGATTTAATATTGGAATACTGGAACAAGAGCCTTGATAGAGCCACCGCCCCCAAAACTGTAATTGTAAAATTACAATTGTAACTAGTACTAAACATGGTTGATACAATTTGAAGTACATCATCATATTCATTATACACCATTGAGAATGGCACGATTTAAGGCTAGTTTAACATCTGAGTGCACACATTGCAAATTAGAATATGCCAATATGATGGGTATGTTTTCGAATTGTGAAAAATAAAAATGTGTGAATTTCATTAATCAACTTATATTACCTAATTATGTCTCTTTTAAAGTTTGTATACATTTTAAATGTTGTAGAATTATTACTTGATAATAGCAATCCAATTTTCAATATTTGTGTATACTTTGTATATTGTTATATTAATGTTTTATTAAGTGATGACCTTGTAAACATGTTAATTCTTTGTGTACATATACTATATACAGTATATACACTGTCCAACTTGTTGAATTAAGTATGGGATGATTGTTTTTGCAAGCAATTGAAAGGGTTTGGGGGAGGGGATAATAAAGACTAATTATAGGGAAAAAAAACGGGGAACAGTTTTCTTTGAAGCCACAAAACCGTGTTTAATCTTTCAAAATGTGTAAATCAAGTAATGATACAAGGGTGATATGCAGTGGTTTATAAGTGTTGGAAACTTTCAAAAGCTCAGGTACCTTCTACATGAAAGAAATCTGATATCCTATTGGAGTGCTTTACTTTTACTAAATACCTTTTCCAAGCAAGCAAATGTATTATGGCTTTGCTCATCAAACTTACCTCTAAGTTACTTTCTTCACCACTGACCAAACTGAGAAGATTCCAACAGAATATTAATTCTGATAATATAACTTCGGTGCTGCATTCATTAACTTTAGCCCTTATAGATATTATTAGTTTTGAGAGGATGAAAACAAGACAACTAGCACCCAAAAGCTCAAAGGAAGAGGAATCTTCTTTATATTTTTTAAACAGATGCTATCAGGCTCAAGGCTGGCTGTGAGCCGAGATAGCTACAATATCTGCAGCTTCTGTAGACTTGTACCAGCTTCTAAATAAATTAGCCAGGTGGAAACAAAGAATTATAGACGGAAGAGGAAAGCATGCAGATCATTTTTCTACTTATGATATCAAACCTTACAGCTCCCAACTGTATTACAGAGAAGAGGAAAGCTAACTCCATTTATTGATTCTTCTGTCACCAGTTTAAATCTCATTAAGTAACCTAAAGCATGCAGGAGTTGGGTTCATTTAAAATAACAGGGATCCACAACCTATTAACGGGACCTAAACAGGTGTTTCACCTCAGCTGCAAAACCTTGAAAAAGCATGATATCTTCTGGTGGTGTAAAAGTTACAGGAACATATCACTCATAATTTGTAAGGGAATGAATATGATATGTCAGATTCAAGTAACCCTAAGCATTTGTGATACTCAATATTTTAGAACCTGCTTTGTTACCTTAGAATTAAAATGTATGCAGTACAAATACAGCATGTTGCTTAATATGGCTAAAAGGACAAGTAACCTGGAAAGAAAAATGCTTTACAATCTCCACTGCATTACTAATCTTGGTTTATTAAATGGAACAAAGTATAGTTGGCATTTCTGACACATTCCATTAAAATGATGAAATGAAGTCCTCATTGTCTTCCCCTACCCCCGATTTAAACCATAGAAACACACATTGGAGATTTACATACACTGTCAGAAATTCTGGATTCTTCTCTATTTACAAGATATACTGTACTTTACAGACTGTTAACAATATTAGAGTATTTGTGGCTCTCACATATCCTATGAGTGAAGACATATTCTAATATTCACTCCAGAACATGTAATGCAAATCAGTCTTCTGACATAATCTACTTAATAGTTAATGATTTAGAAACTGGTTATCTAGACATTAATGTGAAGTCAATAATCAACAATCTAATTAAACCATTAGAATCCCTACGACTCCAGGACCACACTCACTGTGTTGATTAAATGTGCTAATGTTGATAATTGAGTATTTTTCAGCATTATTATACAGTTATTAAGTTATGGAGTTATAAGGTTATTAACTTTAAATTTAATAATGTGAACTTTTAAACAGATCATTTGCTTTAGCTTTCACCTTAAGTGAGGAACATTGTTATTTCTGATTTCTTTGATTTTCTTTCTCAGTATTATAAAATAGCTATTCTACTTATACCAGGTACCTAAATCACTGAACTTAATAAGATCTCATAGCTCAACTGACACAGAATTTGCAGATTTACTCCTGACTCTATAGGTCCAGTGATATCCGGACTCTACTGGATTAGTATCATTATGCAGTCTCATCAGTAACTGTTAGGGCAGGAATTTGAAGGAATTATTGTAGCTAACATTCACCACCTCAGAGTATTATTAACTATTGTATTCTCAAATTTCTAAAATTTAAAAAGTGAGCAAGAAATATCAGCACATAAAATAGAACCTCTAACACTTACTGTATACTTTAAACTTAATATAAGATCTAATACAAAAGACAAATGTTGCAAAAAGGAAAGCTTTTCAAGGTCAGATCTTGTTGTTATTATATTATCATTGTCTAGATCTGAAGAAGAAAAAGCTGGATTAATGTTCCCTTCCAATAATGTGCTTAAACTGCTCATGAATATAACAGTTGATATCACACTTGAACATGAAACACAATATAGCAAAATACAAATATTACAAAATACCTTGCTTGTAAAAATTGGATATTTACAAATAATCTATTAATCATCATAATCTCATCATTTAAATAGCTGCTCATCCAATTCAGGGTCACAGTAGCCTGGAGCCTATACTGGGAAGTACTGGGCACAAGGCAGTATACACCCTGGATTTGACACCAGTCCAATTCAGGGCACTAGCCTATTAATATAAAGATACAAGGAAATTAGTAAAACACTTCATTAGTATTCTGCAGGTGTATTTTTTTCACTTGGATTTTCTACTGATAATGGCTGCACCTTATGTACTAGGATGGCTGTGTGATCGTCGCGGTTCCACATGGGGTCGTGCCCCCCGCCACCCGTTCTGTTTCATACACCCGGGTCGTCGGCGTAACACAACAGGGAACCAACCGTGTGAGCTAAAGGAGACCTCCCTCAGCCCAGGCAGCTGAGAACCCTGATACGCGCAGTGAGGGCACTGACGTCGCCACACCAGCTCCGCTACACCCTCCCCTGCTGAACTTCGCCTCGGTGAAGGTGGAGGACACTCCCACACTCCTGCCCGAGTCACGGCACCAATATGTTAGTCTCGGTTCTGCGCAGAGTCGTGCCTCCCGCCGCCCGTTCCGTCCCCCAAACCTGGGGCACGAACCCGGGTCTCCGGCGTAACACAACAGGGCACCAACCGCGTGAGCTAAAGGAGACCTCCCTCAACCCAGGCAGCTGAAGTCCCTGCTACATGCAGTGAGGGCGCTGACGTCACCGCACTAGCTCCGCTACAGCTGCACTCTCTGTAGAGCACAATTTAACAGAAAAAGTGGGGAATCCCAGTGCCCCAGATCCTCAGAACAATCATACATTGTCAGTGACCATGCAGGTGTCTCTGGGTGTCAGTGGGTTTATTATGGGTGTGGTTTGGTTTAGGAGGCAGCTTAAGCCATCACTAACAAATGTGTAAATTTGTTGAGGTAATGAAAACATGGCCTGTACAACAGGAATGTTTGAGGTCAAGAGTCCTTTTTTTTGGCAGGCTTACCCTAGTTCTTCTGTAGGTATCCCTTGAATGAAAAAAGGTAGCTTGTTTAATTTGGAAATGACTTCACACAGCAAAGCTGGTGTAATACAAGCAGCAGTGGAAACCAGATGTGCTGAGGTGTGCTGCTTGTTTAGGATCCACCAGAATTCCACTTCCTCTCAATATCTGATACAGATTGCTCTTACAGAGACAGTTTATGTATACTAAGTCTGGCTAATAAAACCTTGAAGACTGGCTCAAAGTAAAAAAAAAGTAATGGTAATTCATATACAGCACCATATATACTAAAAGGCATTCAGAAAAAACTTAATACTTTTAAGTGGATCCTGTGCATCAAAAGAAACCAGTTACTTGTACCCAGAACATCACACTTAGAAAATGATGTTTCGATTTTGAAAATGCGTTATGACTCTTAGTCTTCTCAATTGTGGCCTATCATTGTGTATTTGATTTGGTTTTTCTTTCCAATTTAAAACTGGGTTGTAACACCTCAGATGGCAAATGGTAGTGCTCTAATCTCCATTATACTTATATGTGTTACTTTCTGTGAATATGTGATATGTGTTCTTTTTCTTGGTTTTAGTTTGACATTCATCTGTGCCAAATCAAATTGGGAACTAATGGGGTTCTTATATGCTTAATCAAGTCCCTCATGTGTGGCAAGTCAGATTAGCCCCAATAAGGACAAAACAGCTTTTTGTTGCTGCTTACTTTGATTTTATAGTCACAAAAGTAGAATTAGCAAGCTTCTTGCAAGTATTGTGAAATGACCAGAGCTAATTAGTATTAATTTCCATTATTCATTGCAACATCTTGATTATGAAAAGACACAATAAGGTTGAGATGTGATCT